TCCTGCAATTTTGCAAATTTCCAGTTTATTCCCATTAATTCCCATATATTCCCATGGAAAGTGTCCAATCTTGAAAATTCCCGGAATTTTGCAACCCTAATTGCATATTCAAATATCCATACAGCAAAATATACTGGAGGCCATCAAATTTTAGTGAAAATCATCAAAATCGCTGGTGGTGGCTGGCAACTTTTTTTTTTAAATGCTGGCGGGGAAAGAGTTAAAAGCTTAATGCCCAAATCAGACAAATCATGTAATGTGACTGTCGTAAAAGGTAGTTTACTGCAGGACATACTTTATTTTTTTAAATAGTTATTAAAAGTGCATTAACTGTGAAAGTGCCTGTTCCTCAGGTGTGTTTTTTGTGCGCACTCCGACACAGAGCTAAACACAAACAAGCAAAGTATACTTGGGGTTTGAGCAAAGACTATAGAATACCCAAGACGTGTCACTCATATGGTTTTGAATGGGGAAAAATGCAATACTCAATATGGCTGCTCTATTGACGGAAGCCCCGCCATCTGAATAAAAGATCCAACTGCTTATTGGTAAAGTAATTGCGTCGCTGCAGCTGCCGTTAGAAGTTCCACTTGCTATAGAAACCGCGTTCTGAGACGCGCACTTAGGACTGCGCATTTGAACAAAAGAACGCCATTTCAGCAAAATAAAAATTTGAGAATTTGATGTTTCCCCATTCAAAGAGATAGGAGCTGCACTTGCATGCCCAAGAGGCATTTCAAAGATGGCTTTCAGGCGCGCACATAAATGGTCAAATATACACAAAAAAATGTGTCTTGGCGAGGATTTACGTAAAGACAGTCAGTGATGTCTTAAATGAACAAACAATTGGGAAAGTAATAGTATGCGTGTCAGTAGGGATGTAACGATTAACTGCGAGCCGGTTGAAAATCGATTCAAATATGTGACTATTCAAATCGGTTGAGATGCTAAACAAATCGCGATTCATTTAGGTGTAGGAGTTAGGGATGTAACGATTCAATCAACTCACGATTCGATTCACAATTTTGATTTCACGATTCGGTTATTATAATTTTTTTTAACAAAATGAGATTTAAAACAAATTATAAATTAAATGTGTCCTTTTATTATTGCTTGGACAAAATGCTGCACATTTCTTTGTGAAATTGATATATAATACTATACTAATATAGTACTTGCATATTACTGCTCTTTTGTTGGTTTTGATTGCTTCTATTGTCCTCATTTGTAAGTCGTTTTGGATAAAAGCGTCTGCTAAAATTACAATTTAAATATAATGTAAATATAAATAACAAAATTAAATTGAAATTTAAAAACAAGCCCCAAATCAAATAAATAAGTAACAAATAAATCTCTTCATATAAACAAACAAATGCTTTGGCTGTGTTTCCATTTAAAATTAGAGGCAACCAAATTACATTACATTACATTAAATTATACAATCTAATTTAGATTAAAAACTGCTCAAGTTGCATGTATGCAGCATTTTTGTTTGGATCATGATTAAAATGCAGTGGTTGCCTCTAATTTTAAATGGAAAGAGCACAGACAAAGCCTTAGTTTGTTTATATGAAGATATTTATTTTATTTGTGTTACTTATTTGATTTGGGGCTTGTTTTAAAATTTTGTTTTGTTATTTACATTACATTTAAATTTTGTCATTTAGCAGACGCTTTTATCCAAAGCGACTAACAAATGAGGATAATAGAAGCAATCAAAACCAACAAAAGAGCAGTAATATGCAAGTGCTATATTAGTATATTTTTATAGTGTTATATTTCAATTTCACAGAGAAATGTGCAGCATTTTGTCCAAGCAATAATAAAAGGACACATTTAATTTATAATTTGTCTTAAATCTCATTTTGTTAAAAAAAAATAATAAAAAAATAAAAAAAGAGAATGATAATCGCGAATCGAATCGAATCGTGAAATCAAAATCGTGAATCGAATCGTTACATCCCTATGTGTCAGTATATTAGATCCATGCATTCGGTTTCAAAGAGTCAGCAGCCTAATAAACCTACTGCTGTCTGTGTCATTAATGTTAATCAAACAACAAAAGAGAGAAAATCACTCACTGCTCTTGACTGGATCACTTTATAACTTTAATAAGAATCAATGTATATTTAATTCATACAGTGATGCAGTGTTTTAAAGATTAATTTTTGTTTTAAAGTTTTTAAAGACACTTTTGACAACTGATTGTTTAGTTTTTTTTGTTTTTTTTTAATTGTGCAAATAGATTCATAGTAGTCATAGGCTTGTTCCAGTCTGGATATTCTCAATAGTATATCTCAAAAATGAGAAGATCGCGATTCAGATCGTGGATCATGATTGTGTTTTATAAAATCATTATGATATTTTGGGAAGATCGCCTACCCTTAACATGCACTGATCTACATTTTTAATGCTTGATTCCAATTGCCGATTTTTTACAAGCAAACGACATTTTGAAAAATGATTACAATTCAGTTTGTGCGCAAGTCCACAACAGAGATTGGATGAAATACAACTGCATCTCTAGTAAAGAGGTTGCATGCTGAATTCATCAAATCAATTACTTGACACTGCAAATACGCAAATAAGAACATTAACCCGGGGTTTAGGAATGTACAGTGTGAAAAATCAGTGTATGAATTAGGCATGGGCTGGTATAAGATTTTGACAGTATGATAACCTTAAGGAAAAAAATATCACGGTATCGTCGTTACAGCTCTAAAATGTGTTACTTTTAAATGACTGGGTAAAAAAAAAAAAAACTTTTCAGCTGAGCACAATATATTTTGTTTTTGAGCAACATACAGAATATTAGGAACAGTAGAATTTGTTTATTTTTTCTTTGATTTGTTTCCTAAAAAGAAAAAAAATTGTTTTCCTACCATTTAAGTCAATGGCAACCACCAACTGTTTGATTACCAGCAATCTTCAAAATATTTTCTTTATGTTCAACATGAGAAAGCAACTCATACAGGTTTGGAACGACATGAGGGTGAGTAAATGACAGAATTTAAATTTTTGGGTGAACTATCCCTTTAAGTTCAGCCATCCTACACACACACGTGACTGACCGCTAGCTCACACCAACACGAGGAGGAGGGTCTCTCTACACTGCACTCAACCTGAGGGATTACTACACTTTCAGTCTTTTTTGAGGAGACATTAAAAACGGCACATACCACAGGAACAGTATAACGGAAATTATTAGTGGTTTTGAAACTGTGAAATTTTCAAATCGCGGAATATGAATACCTGGCATTAATTGTGAACCCTGTGTAAATTATGAGCAGTGTGAAACGTGAAACAAGATAACCCAGGATTACCTAGGGTTTAAAATGACCAAGGGTTAACTAAAGCCCTATTCGCACAGGATTAGTATTATCTGGGGACCTTGTGTGATTTTGAAATTACCCCCCCACATCTGAATTTCGTGTGGTGCATTCGCACGGGATAAGCGAAGCCTGTGATTTTACTCGAATTTACCGACTTGTCTCCCGGATGTCAAGGCTTTGAGAGTCCCGTTCTATGGTCCAGATGGAAAAAAAGAAAAAAAAGAAGCTAATATAGTTTTGTGCGCTGTGTCATTTACATTTCACCAGGTTAAAATAATATCTCAAGCTTTATGCTTGATTTGTAACACGTTAACCTCAAAACCTTTTCAGCTTTCTCTTTCTGCAAATTGTATGGTGTAGCGATATGATGACAGCACCCAGAATAATATCAAACACTCCAACGCAGCTCCATTCTTCATGAAAGATGGATAAAAAGGCGGACAGCAAACAAAAACCTTGAAAAATTATATGCGACCCGCCAAATGCTGGCCGAATCACAGAAATGCCGATTCGCACGGGACTAATATTATCACAGGACCTCGGTGTTCGGCGAAATATGGTAGGTCATTTGCGGGTGAATTTTTACTTTACAAATTACAGACATGGCCGATTCACACGGGATTAAGATCACAGACAACCTCCGCAATTATTACAAATGACTGGAGGTCACCAGGTAATACTAATCCCGTGCGAATAGGGCTTAAATCCTAACTTCTGTAAGTGAGTTGCACCAAAGCTTCGAGAGATATGAAATATTGCAAAAACTACTTTTACGTTTTGTTTAGTTTTTTGCTTGACAGTATCCTTCCCCAATCACTTTCATTGTGTGGAAAAAGAGCAACATGAACACTCTGCAAAACATAATTTTTTACATGGGGGAAAAAAGACAATCAAACAGATCTGAATCAAAAGGCAAGTAAAAGTGTTCATTTTGGGGTAAACTACCCCTATAAGGTGACATTGGAAACAAATTTGGCTGCATGTGCCAATGTCCTTTAACAAAAGTTGTGCATGGCAGAACATTTGGAACCGATTAGAGGGGCATTTACTCTAGTTGTTAGATGTGGCTTTGAAAATACAACTTGCGGCATGTGGCATTTGTTTGTATGACTCACACACACACAGGTCTCTCTGATACACACACCTTCGCAAACAGCGTAAATGCATGTCAGCCTCAGTGGTACACAAGAAGAAAACTTTTGACTCGTGGGCCAAGTCAACAAATGAATGACAGATACTGGATAACCTGCCACCACCACAGACCCATGAAAACAATGGCTTCTGTCTGAGCAGAATAAGGCCATGGGAAGAAGGGGTTGAAGCTCTCATAATCCTTGCTGGAAACTCGCAGTCATTAATCTGATTAATGTATACAAGACTGCAAAGCGTCTACAATATTTCAACTCCAAAAATGCCCATTAAACCAGGCATACTTTTTCCAACAAGGGCATTCTTTCCAACAGGATCTGACTTCTTTGCAACTGGCAAACAACATTGTTAGGGGAATACAAACAGCAAGGCCAGATTATTCTCATGAGGGAAATCATGCAACACAAATGACCACTAAAAGAGATGCACAAAAATTCACACACACATATATATATATATGGAAATACAGAGTAACATTTGCAAAACCAGAGAGAAACAAGCTTAAAATTAGGAACTTACCACAAGCAAAGGAGAATGTTAGAAATTAGAGGTGCTTTGCCCAAGAAAACGGCCTCTTCGTTGGCCCTGTGAGAGGAAGATGTTGTTAGGTTTTTGTCAGGTTTTAGTAAGCCAGAGAAGATATACTGTAAGCAACAGAAAGAGTCTCCTGGTCCTCTTACGTTGGCAGTACGGTAAAGAAAGCAGCAGGTTAATATAAACCCAGGCACTCAAATGTGGCACATTCTGAGATGGAGAGTGAAATGCCACACATAGGAGACCTGTAGAAGCAATCATGAGGACACTGGAAACACCTCGACTATGTGCTACTGGCCCCAAACCTGACCTAGCGCAAGTCAACACCTCGCTCAAGGAATGTCCCGGGTTCAATAGAAGTTAAGCTCTATGATTACAACATAAAATATTTCATAAAAAAAAAAAATTGTAATGCACTTACAATAAACAAGTTGAACAACACGTCATTACCAAAAAGAGACTGTTTATGCTGAGGAAAACCCACCCACACATAACCAGATGTTCATCCATCTAGAATAGCAATCCCACCACTCTGGAGGTCAACTTTGGAGGTCAAACTTCATAGCTTAAATAACAAATTTTTTGCACTGAGGGATTAATACAAATGCTTCACCAATAATACTGAAAGCTAACTAAATATTTTTGATGGTGAACATCAACGTCACAAATGCAATCCATAAAATATTCTATTTAGACACTGAGAAATAAATATAAAAAAAATTAAAATCCAACACATTTAGAAACATTGACATTTATATTGTCAACGTCTACACTGAAACAATGGGTATCATATTTAAATGTGAATTCTGCGTGTCTCTGTGTTAATGAATGGCGCAGACGTGCGATTTTGTGTAGTACTCGTACTGAAACGCTCGTGACGCTTCTGGTGATATTAACCTCTGCCGTCTCACTAATGAGGACATAAATACATGAACAACATCTCCAGAACTGCTCTGAGAGTCACTTCATCAGCATTTGACCGTTTCATTTCAGTAAAACTATCATCATGTCATACACACACAGAAATGTAACGGTATTCACGGCAACCCGTCAAAATAAAAGTTTGGTTTAACTTGAGGGCATTGTGGCAGAAATATATTACTGTTGTTGAGTAGAATGTACGTAACAGACTGCTACTACTAAAATTATTAAAACCTTATTTTTAAGGAATAAGCATTCAATATTTCTTCAATGTTTTAATTGTAATATTAAATGACCTTTATTTTCCCAAAAAATTAATTTGTTTAATTTTCAAAGATTGTTTTATTTTAAAAGATAGATTAAATTAATGTTTTATGCCTTAAAACAAAATGTAAATACACAACACAGAATTTCGGAGCAAAAAAAAAATTGTAAGAATAAATTAAACATGTTTTATGCTTTCAAATTAGACACGCTAAAACAGAATTTGGTTACAATAAAACAAGGTTGGACAAATAAAACATTTCATAGGGCCCTAAACGTAATATTTGTTAAACTTTTAATAAATTGATGTTAAATTGTTTAAGTTTCATGATTTTAATTAATTAGACATGCTTTTTGATTAATAAAATGTAACTTAACCATTAAAAAGGAGTCTAGGAGAAAAAAAAAAAACGGAATCTAATGTTTTATGCCTTAAAACAAAATGTAAATACACAACACAGAATTTCGGAGCAAAAAAAAAATTGTAAGAATAAATTAAACATGTTTTATGCTTTCAAATTAGACACGCTAAAACAGAATTTGGTTACAATAAAACAAGGTTGGACAAATAAAACATTTCATAGGGCCCTAAACGTAATATTTGTTAAACTTTTAATAAATTGATGTTAAATTGTTTAAGTTTCATGATTTTAATTAATTAGACATTAATTAACCATTTTAACCATTAAAAAGGAGTCTAGGAGAAAGAAAAAAAACGGAATCTAACCCCCCCGTTGCTTGTAGTTAGATTATTTGTTCTTATTTGACAATATAGTTTTTTCCCTAAGCATAGCACATACCAAACCGTACCGAAACCCTAAAACCGTGATGCAAACCAAACCGTGAGTAAGTTGAACCTTTGCACCCCTGATGGAATGGACATCACCCATGACATACGGCACATTCCTGCGTGCTGTCAGGTTCAGACACACTGCTCTAATTAGACCCCGAGCACACGACCGTTCACCACATCAGGCCCTCCCCTGCCTCCAAACACTCCTACACAACTAAACAAGGCTCCACTCGCCCCAGACACCTGGTTTAGTTCTAGTATATTTTCAGTATTCTTCAAAATGTAGCATGAAGTGATTTGACTACAAAGCGGATTTTGAAGCACTAGCAAACATGAAAAGGCCCACTGTTACAGCTCATGGCACATATCCAGGGCAGCAGGACTGAACTGACAGAAGCAGTGGATTATTTTACAGGGAACCATGGCCTAATTTCATAAATGGATGACTGACAAAAGCAGACCGACGGAAGTCAATGCTGTGCCTTAAGCTCATTTCAGAAAGTCTGTGAGAAGACTTAATGTTTATGAAAAAGATCAACAGATGTCAGAAAAATTACTGTCTAATACAGATGAAATCTCAACAGCAGAGGAGCTGGCAGGCCATATAATGTCCATATTCACAATATTTGGCACATTTTCTAAATCATTTAAAGTTAACATTTATAATAAAATGCTTACTAGCCTATGTATTGGCAATACAGTGTTGGGAAATACGACCTACCAGATTGTAACTTCATTTAGAAACTACCAATTTTGAATAGAATTTTCAAAAGTAACAAATATAGTTTTGCATCAATTATTAATTTATAAATGTGACCCTGGACCACAAAACCATATCCATCTATCTTATATTAAGTAGCACATATCTTAAGTAGCACAGGTATGCAGCTTAGTCAACATTTGAAGTGGATCAAAAAAGTTCATCAAAGTTGTCCTAAGACAAGAACGCATTTTGGTTTTAGGTCAACTTCGATGAAAGGTTTTGATCCACTTCAAATGTTGACTACTAAAATTATTATTATTATTCTTTTATGCCAAAAATCATTAGGATATTAAGTAAAGATCATGTTCTATGAAGATATTTTGTAAATTTCCTACTGTAAATATATCAAAACTTAATTTTTGCTTAGTAATATGCATTGCAAAGAACTTCATTTGGACAACTTTAAAGGCGATTTTCTCAAGATTTAGATTTTTTTTGCACCCTCAGATTCCAGATTTTCAAATAGTTGTAGCTCAGCCAAATATTGTCCTATCCTAACAAACCACACATCAACGGGAGGCTTATTTATCCAGCTTTCAGATGATGTATAAATCTCAATTTCTAAAAATGGACCCTTATGACTGGTTTTGTGGTCCAGTGTCAAATTATGGAGGAGTAGCACCACATTACATTTTACAACCTAAAGGACAAATTATTTTACTGACCTTGACTCACAATATTTTAAAGTCCTCTCCATGTAATTATTTTTAAAAAAAAAACAATTTGTGAAATTGTAATTGCATAACATTCCTTCACAAGCATAATGCAAATTATCAGAAAGTCCATTTAGACCAAAATGACACCACCAGTTTGAAAGATCAGCCACATGTGTTAATTTTTCACTTAAAACCCCACATTTTCCTTCTTCCCCACACATCTTCCCAGGAACACTGATCCGTCAAAGAATCCTGAATTGGTCACCAGCTCAATATAGCCCTGCTCTCAAAGGCTCAGTGCACTCTGGGTCCTTGTGTAGGCATGAAGAAAACAAAGGCAGTTTTGTTCTCCACCCAGCGTCCTCCAGCACTATGCACAACAACAGAGATAGTTTCCTACGTTTGCCCCAGTGAGTTTAGTCTAAGCTCAGTGAGCATCCATGAAAGGTCTCCATGATTGAATATAGCAATAAAATACAATACAAAAATACCTAGGCATAAGACTTCATGGGAAGTTCACAACAAAGCCAGCTGAATCGGATCGCCTGAGCTCTCACGGATCTGCAATTTAACTCTCTTCGCTTAAAAGTGCAGAACCCCAATTACTAAAGAGCATGAAGCCCTTGGCCCGGCATTCACAATAACTCAGTCTAATCTCTGATTTAACTTTTACATTTTGTGTCCAAAGCAACTTAAAGTGATTTTAGAGTTATACAATGATCATGCTTCACTGAACCCACAATATTTGCTCTAGCAGTCTAATCATTAGGCCCTCCTCCATCTGAGATACAATATGATACATTTTGCTGCAAAAGGAGATGTACCTGAATGTTAAATTGCAAAAACACTATTTTATGCAGGTAGGAAAACAGGATTACATTATATTCTTATATAGGCCATTCCCATTCATCTGCAATCTAGAGCAAGAAGAAAACAAATGATTTCTCCTGAACCTTGATCCTGTTTGACACTGCCAGCACAAACAGTGGTGCAAAGTTTTATATCAATAAAAGGTTATACATTTAGAATATAATCGCATTTGTGTGTTTCTTAAACTTTTGAAGTCCCATGGGTTGATTTTTGCTAAAACTAACAGATTTTAATTATTTATATATATATATATATATACACATAAAATATTATTATTATATGAAGGTCACACAGGAAATTTTTACCATGTCTTCATTAATTTAGCAACTTTTCAATGTATAATTTAACCTTGCTCCAGACCCATATATCAACATATACTACTAAATTTAAAACTGTAATGATCTAAACAATTAGTGAAACAAATCATTTCAGTATTTATGAAAATGACTTGTATCAACTGAATTTTGCCCCATAATAGCATCATTTCCAAAACAACCAACACTTTTGCCCTGGTAATGTACTTCTACTAGTGCAAATACTATGATACTAATGATACTAATAATGGTATTTTAGTACTAATGTAATTTTATATCAAGATGCATTGACTGTGAAGAGCATGCTCGAGATTAAATATGACTAGGCCTGTCGAAATAATCAATATATCGACTTATCGCGCAATATATGTACATGACCTCAATCATTTTTGGTGACGCAATATATCGCCCATTATATTTACTTTAAATATAATTAAATTACTTTTTTTTTTTTTTTAATATATCAAAATTTATGTCACCATGTTTTGTACATTTCACTTGCACCTGTGTCTTTTGCAGCTTCTCGTACATGACGTGGTGTAGTCATGAGGTGCTAGTTCAAATTGAAAAAAAATGCTTCTACAAAAAAAAGTTTCATCTGAAGATATGACCTTGTGCCTTTGTGCATACAGACATCTGACTGCTAAGCAGTGATTGTGTTTTTCAGCAATAGTGTGCACCCTTAATTTACAGAGAAAAGAAGGTCAGGGGAAAATCTGTAGATGGAAAAATCTCCATACAAGTTCTTTGTGCATTTTTCTTTTTTTGTACTTGTTACTTTGCACTTTTTGTTAGAAAATGTTTATTTATTCAGGTTTTTTAAGGTATCTAATATTGTGAGACTTAATTTCCATGATCTAAATATTCTTACAAATTAAAAGTTTGCTGTCATTTGGAAGTGTGTGGGCCTTCTTGCATTATTATGCTGTTACATTACGATTATATACTCAGTGGCATAAAATGGTCTTTAAAATGCCAATAATATCGCTTATCGCTATTATTTCTGGGGCAATATAATCGCACAACAAAAAGTTGTTATCGTGACAGGTAATCAAACAGTTGGTGGTTGCCATTGACTTCCATAGTAGGAAAAAAAATACGATGGAAGTCAATGGCAACCACCAACTCTTAGATTTAAAAAAAAAAAAAAGAAAACAACATTTTTTTATATTATTTAACTGCGTAAAATGCTATCCCAAAAAAAGATCACACAATATTACTGGATACAATACATAAATTAAAATGTGGTGGAAATGACACAGTGGGGAAAATTACTTTTACTAAATAAATAAATCTCCAGTGTATGTCCGCGGTTGTGGACTAACTTAAGTGAGTTTTACGAGTTTATTTAGCAAAAATCAACAGGCCCAATGCATACAGGTAATATCAGCAGTCTGCAGACATTAAAGGTAAGCTGGTAATCAAACAGTTGGAGGTTGCCATTGACTTCCATAGTAGGAAAACAAAATACTATGGAAGTCAATGGCAACCACCAACTGTTTGATTACCAGCAATCTTCAAAATATCTTCTTTTGTGTTCAGTATAAGAAAGCAACTCATACAGGTTTGGAACGACATGAGGGTGAGTAAATGATGACAGAATTTTTATTTTTGGGTGAACTATCCCTTTAACTCCTTTCTTCAAACAGCAAAGGGTGAAGCCTCATCAAATTTCAAGGGATTTGTATGACCGTAGTGTCAAAGGAAACGGGTGTTAACAACAAGCTTATTCCTAAATACGTTACAAAACTTGTTTATTCCCTTTATCGGGTTTTGGCTCTATATTCTACAATGCTCTGGACAAATGAACCCCTTCACACACATAGGCTACTTGAGGCAAAAATGTGTGCACTTCATCACCAGAGAGAGGTACACATAACCGATTCTAATATCGAAATCTACTTACTCGTCGTTTTGCTCTTATTCAGGCGATGTCCCGCGTCGTCGTCAAACTCTCCCGGAGTTCCTCGGTGCGATGTGAAGCGGTTTATCTCCAGCGCATTCGCATGCAGACCGCGTTCAGAGCGAGAAAAGCGCCATGTGAAGAAAAGTTGACACCGCTCAGACACCTTCCCTTTCTGCCATGACAACCGAGCAGCGAAATAATATCTCCCATAAACATTTACCAGCAGGCAGGAGCATGGAGAAACACTTTCAACAGGTTGTTTTTAGAAAGCAGGCCCATCGTCGACTGAAACTCATAGCGATTATTCCAGCAACAGCAGCAGGCCTGTGAGCAGTCTTCGCGGATGAAATTAGATGCTGGGGCTCCGCATTATGCCCATTGATCCAATTACACGGGTTAACCCTTTCAGGTTCAAACAGCTAACGGCGGAATATTGCAGTACTTGTACTTGTAGCATTTTCTGACCTGAGTGAATACTGCTCTCATTACAATGTGAAAATTAAAGTACTAAAGATAAATATGAGGGGTTTACACTGAACTATATAATAACTCTATTATATATCTTATATAATATTATATATCTTATAGTATACTGATATACTATAAACTAAATTCTATACTTGTAATCGAGATATTCTCTATTATAGATCAGTTGGGTGTTACAGGCACTTAGTAATAATAAGAGCAACAGCGCCCTCTGTAGGCCGAGAAGATGATATACTCTCGTTTCAATGTCATTTCTCATCAGAACCATCTTCTCTTCAGCTTCACCTTTTTGATAGAAGCTCAAAGCCAAATGCAAACGTGTAAAGAGACAAACCATAAAGTTTCAAAAGCTATCGAACACAAACGTTTTTTGCCGTGCACAGTCCGTTAAATCCACAGCAGGTCATTTTGTCACACTATATGGGGGTAAGTTGTCACAACCTGCCATTAAACAGCCTATTATTTTTCAGATTAATTTAAATATGAAATCTAATATAAAACACGAAACAGCAAAAATGTAAAAGGTACAAAATTTGTCATATAAAAACATTGTTTATTATTAATAATGAAACACATGACAACCTGACCAGGGGCACGTTCAAGCTCAAACCGTTGTGCACCGTTTTGCTACGGTTTCCGGTTTGAACGACATGTTTCCTGGAAACGGTGTGCAACGGGGTTTGAGATGCGTTTTCTCTTGTTTGGTGGGTGTGTCAAACATGTCAACCCAATCAGCAGCAACATGTATGTAAACCAAGCGGTATTAAAGAGACAGCTCGCGCAATGTAATTAACATCCAAATAAATTCACAAGAGCAAGTATATTGTTTGCACATGTTTATTTACATTAAAGGCAAAATAACTGAAATAATAAGAGCACAATTATAGATCTGGAACTTCTTTAAGTCTGTCTAAAGGCCCGTTCACACCAAGCACGATAACTATAAAGGTAACGATAAAGTTCTAAAAATCGTTCTCAATATTAAAGAATAGCATAGTCACACCACAACTATAACGATAACGATACAGAGGAACGATATCGTTGTGATCACTTTCAAAACGATTTCTTTCCAGCTGATGAACGATAAAACCCTGACAGCCAATCAGAATCCATCCTGCTGTAACGAGCTCAAGAATTTAAAGCGGCAGACTCATGTGCTCTTAGAATAAACAGACAATATCGTTCGCTGGTGTGGATGCTAATATAGTTATCTTTATAGTTATCGTTCTTGGTGTGAACGGGGCTTAAATATCATTTAGTAATTGCAATGTCTTCTGGTCCATATCCTTTCCTTAGGAAGGTG